TTTTTGTGTGTTTGTGTATTACATCTAGAGGGCATAATTGATATAGAATTTTGATTAATTCTGGCAGTTTCTGGTAGTAAAAGGAAGGCACAGAGCTTCAAGGATGAGGAGTTTTTCATAAGCTCAGTTCCAACAAATCAAGTAGGTTATATTCTTTTATGCAATAAACGTCATATTGATTTTCAGCAACATCATCATCTTTCGCTTAGGGGATGGATTTCAAGCAGTTCAAGAGATATTAAAGAATTTACTGTCTAACCATCTTGAAGTAGCTTCAATTCTATTATTCTAATATGCATTCTCATTTCCAACTCTCYTTGGCACCAGATTGCTCTATTTCATTATTTGATTTTTATCAAAGAGTTATGGTGTTGATATCTTACTTCTCATGTCATTCTTTCCAGCATTTTGAAGCAGGCCTTTCAGTCAGAARTAATCAAGGCTTTGCATCCAACAGGTAAAGATCAATGGATGCTGAACATTTTTCATGTAGTTAATATGTTCCATGTACCTCAACTTTGCTTCAAACTGCGAACTGCAACATAAATAAGTGGTCATGGTGTCACATATCACATGGTTTCATCATCTCGCCTGTTAAGGTCTTTGGTACAGTTACTTGACATGCTAAAAGTGTTTACAATTCACAAGAGAGATTGCAAGAGTGTTGGTGGTTATATGCCACTTTGATGTGATGGTGGGTTGTCTCTACCCCTACGACATCTTAAATGCACCTTTTTTTTATTCTATATGCTTGTACTGTAAGTTATGCTGTAGGTCTTGTATTGGGAAAAGCTTGTGACATTAGATTGGGCTTACCGTAAACCTTTGGTGCCTCTTGTATCTGTATGTAATAGGTGCTTGTACTATTAGTCTTGAACCATTGATTTGAATGATGAATAGGTTGGAGAATGCTGTTCTTGACCTAGCTGCAGATGATAGTGGGGGATTACAAAAACAGAAGTCTTCATATCATTGGGATAAGGTTTCAATTGTAAAGATATTTGATGTAATTCTTTACTTCTGTCTTTCTGTCACTCAACTACAGTGATTTTATCTGATGGCAGAGGAGTAAAAAGTATGTCAAGTTGAACAACGGTGACCGTGTAACAGCTAGTGGGAAGGTACATTTTGACACTCGTATATATACGTRTGYATATTATGTTTGTTAATAATACCYGATTTGCTTCTAAAGATAACTTACTTGCAATGGTATACARATAATAACAGAGAGTGGTTCAAAAGGGAAGGCCAATAAAACTGGAATATATAAAAGATGGAAAGAAAAATCACACAGTAAGATATCTTTCCAAGGAACAARCAATGAAGGCAGTGCTGTGGAATCTACAAGTCTCAAAGGTATCAATGTTTTTGTTATTTGTATTTACGAATATATAATTTGAGTGTGAATGATGATGATGATTATGTTGTTTTAGCAGGAGGGCGTGGAATGCATAAGAGAGGAGGGTTTAGAGGTGGGAACAAGAGTCGGTCGGTTCCTAATGCTCATGTGCG